ACTAGTGTATAGAAGATACCGCTGGGCTCCCTCGCCTATTGGCTCTCAGTTAATTCTACTTCATCCTCTCTTGCTTTTGAGCTACTTACTCATCAAATGTTTTTGTGACACCCTTTTGATCTAAGTTCATCAAATCCAGTATTCTTTGTTATTCTTTTGAATGAAAATTAAGGTTAGGTTAGGGGAAACAGTGAGGCTTATTTAGCTGAGATCAATCACTTATCCGTTGTGGTTTTTAGTAAAAAGATTTTATGCTGCTTTATAGAAAACTTAAACTATACAAACAAAACAAGCAAGAACAAGCAGAGATACGTGGTATTTTTATTTGAACTCCTACTGAAGACTGAACATAGCAAACAGAAGTTCCTAGAAGGAATTAGGAACAGAATTTTCTAACACAGATTTAATGGAAAAACATAATGTATTTAACAATGACCTATTTAAACAGAAGCTGTAGAACTATCCCTTGTAATCTTCACCACTAAATCATATTACTTTAGCATTTTTATTACCCATGACATAATCCAGGCTCTTCATCCTCTTTAGGGTAATATGACAACTAAAACTACAGAACAGTTCATCTGCGATTTTGTTCTTACTCATTCTAAGTGACTTAATGTTCTTTTATCTATAATTTTCCTTACTTATGAGTTGCTGCTGATGCTATTTTCATAGATGATAAACTCTAAGTTAGGCAACTAATTTTGTCCCTAACTAATTTCTTATAAGGGGCAAAGACCTTAGTTGGCAGTTATATATGGTACTGTTCATTAAGTCATTCTTAAATTCATCTCGTGTATCTTTGCTGAATATCATTAGTCTTCAAGATTGCACTATCACAACTATTCTGGTCAACAATCCTATTTCTGAAATCTAGTTTTTCCCTAAAGGAAATTATGTAAGAGTTACCGAGAAACATACGAAGATGAGAATCCAGAACAATTACCTCTATTATTTTGAAAGTGTGTGATGTCAAACATATGAATTACCCTTTGAGCCTCAGTTTCTTTATTGATAAAAATGGAGTCACAATCTATTTCACAGGATTGTGGTAATTTCAAAAGCTAACACATATTAAAAAATAGCTAGGACAGAAACTGCTACATGATCAATATTCTACATATATCTCTTGGGTACTTATTTTGTGACAGTTACTTTCTTTTACCTTCATGGATCATTTTTATTCCATAATATCTATAAATGACCCTTATTATATAAATTTCTCTTCATTTTTATTTCATATAATAGTTCTTTTAAGAAATAGGAAAATTAGAAAATTAAGTTTTCTATGGAAAATTTTAGGATACAGAATTTTTAGTAAAAAAAAAAAATGCTGCTTACTGGGGTTAACATTTTTTCAATTTTGAAAAGTCATAGTCTATGTGGGAACACTAATAAAAGTGTGCTCCAGTGGTCCCCAACCTTTTTGGCACCAGTGACCGGTTTCATGGCGGGAGAGGGGAGGCAGAGCTCGGGCAGTAATGCCAGCGATGGGGAGAGGCTGTAAATACAGATAAAGCTTTGCTGGCCCACCTGCCGCTCACCTCCTGCTGTACAGCCCCAGTTCCAAAGTTTCATGGAAGACAATTTTTCCACGGATTGGGGGTTGCGGGGGCGGCAGAGCTCTGTGGCCCGGTCCGTGGACCAGGGGTTGGGGAACCACAGTGCTAGACAATCCAAATTAATATACTTGATTAATAACTTTTAACAATACAATTTACATTAACAGAAAATATGAAGGATGCTGTTGCTGTTTCAGATCAATATTTATAAATCTTTAGAAGATATTATGCATAAAAAAACTTACTAAATCACTTATTACAAATAATACTGGTTTGCCTTTAAATGAAAAATGTTATATATTTTCCTTCTGATCTCCAGACAAATACTTCCTATTCTATAGAAAGTGTGCAAACCTGCTGCATAAGGGCGGCTGCAACCCTCTTTCCATCCACTGCAGCCATCATGAGGTTCTATCCTATGAAGCCCTCACTCCCTCTTAGAAGCCTTCTCAACAAAGTATTTCATATGATTAGAGTTTGTATTTGAGTAGAAACCAAAATCACTATGCCACCTCAGATAATTTTTATTATAGAAGCCAAATAAAATCCACATATAAATAATAAAACTTTTTATCTAAATAAATACAAAAATAAATCCCAATTAAATGGATATGTTTCCACAGCAAATCCAAATACATCACAAAATTTATGGGAATAATAATGAAGTAAAAACAACTGTTAAATAAGACACTACTCTCTAAATGTGATTATTACTGCCCAATACCCAAAAATATGCTCATGGCGATAATTCAATTGTTTATAACTCTGTCTCTTTCATCTTTAGAGCAAATCAAGGCACCTACCAGTAAGAAACACCCCACAGTTCAACCCTCTTCATTTAATTTTTACACATGCCGGAGGCAGAAAAGTACTCAATTGTATTTTTAAATAAAGAAAGGACTAAGAACTTTAATCAAAAATACAGTTTTACAGATGAAAGGTTTCTTCTAGTGAAAGAAACCACAGTAATATTTTATGAAGCACAGAATAACTTAACAGAACTTCGGCAACAAAGAAATCTTGTAAGCATTTAAACCTGATAGATGGTATTTTTACTATGAATTCTAAAAAAGGAAAACAAAGCAAACTAGAAAAACCAAAGTTCAAAGTTAAAGCTAAACGGTTTTCTAAAAAGATCTCTGCCAAAAGGAAAGTTCAGAACAAATAACATTCACAAGGTTCAAATTATCACCTAAAGCAATAAGAACTAGATAACATCAAACTCTTCTAGGAAATTTTAGGATCTTTGACACACAGTGAATTATTTAAGTACTTAGGAGAAAAATGCACAACGTATATCTACCAATTTGTACTTATAACCCTTCATGAGTATCAAAGAGACAATACTCAAAGACTATTGTTTTTAAAAGTAGATTATTTCAGAAGAATAGCTGGCTAGCTGCTTCTAAATGTTTTAATTCTGCCTAAAAAACTTCAAAGAAGAGAACGGAGCACACTCTCAAAGATGCATCGTGACATAAACCCTTTAGGTATCACAATCGAAATATTTTAATTCAAAGGCCACAAAGATTTTATTATCTCAAGTACAGATGTGTCCAGCTAAACAGCCTTCCTATGGCCTCATGTTTTAAGTCACCTGAGAAGTACAATGTGACGATGGCCATGTCTGTAATCATTAAACTTTCTTGGCACTGTTATTCAAGAAGATCCGGTACTTTCCTTTAAACAAGTGCAGGCAAGTTGATCTTGGTTTTTCTTTTAAATTCAGCAACCTACACCCACCTCTATTTAAATGTTGTTCCATAAAGGAAGGAGACTATTACAGAATGTAAAAATAGGGGCTATTGGGTGTGGATACATGGGGGATTCATTACAGTTTTGTAGATGTTGAAATTTCCAAAATAAAAAAAGAGAAAGAAAAGGAGAGAGACAAGAGGAATGAAAGGAAGGAATAAGGGAAAGGAGAGGGATAGAGGGAGAGTGGGATGTGAAGCCACACAAAGCAGGGTTTGAATCTTAGCTCTGTAATTTACTAGCAGTGTGACCTTGGTAAACCTAAGGTTCCTCATCTGCAAAATTGAGATAATAAAGTTCCTGCTTTACGGGCTTGTTAGGAGATTTGAGGGAGATAATATATATATATATGTAAAGCACTTAACAGAATGCCTCACATGTAGAAAATTATCAAACCATTAACTATTCTATATAATTACTGTTATTATAATCAAATAAGTTTGTTAGTTTAACAAGTTTATAGTTTAGGCTTATTCTATTTAGGAAAATATTCAGTTCTTCAACAATAAATACTACACAATCTTTATAAAACTAAGAAAAATAACTGAGAACAACAAGTACATAGTTTTCAATAAATACTTTCTGTGGCTTTAGTTTCTTTTTTTAATATTGATAAACATTTTTATTCTAATATTATAGTAATAATTCAAGTGTAATTTTCTTTGCAAAGTCAACTCTATTAAAACAAAACTTGTTAAATATCTTTTGTCAAACATAAGCATATTCTTTTCAATCCCCCACAGCAGTTCAGAGCCATGTAGCAGAAATAAGATTTTTTTTTAAAGCCTACTACATTTTGGGACCAGAAAGTAGTGGTCCATTTAGTGGACACATCACTGCCAGACACTGATATCTGGATTCATGATTTTATGTCAGAGTACCTGGTTGAGCTTTCAAAAGTTATTTAATCATTGCTTCTGAGACCCTGACAACTAATTCAGATTTTTTAACAATAACAAAATGTAGTAGGCTTTAGCTTCTTTTAAGGCAATAGGAACATGGACTCAAGAACTAGACTGCCCATTTGAATTCCAAGTGTGCCACTTGCTGGTTGCATGACTTAAAGCAAGTATTTACTCAGTATTGGCTCAGTTTCTGTCTGTCAACTGGGGATGACAATAGAGACATTGTGAAGATTAAATGAATTAGTATATGTAAAATGCTTAGAACAGTGCCTGGCACTAGTAAGTGCTATATAAGAGTTAACATGAATTTAGTTGTTAATAATTCTCACCAGGAAACTCTTTACCACCTCCAAATTGGCCATTGTTAAGCCCAACTACTCACTAGAGTTTGAGACTAGGAGATATGATTTGGAAATCTGTGAGCTGTAAATCTGAACTAAACCTTTACCTTTCTACTCAGAAGTCCCCTATAGACACAATCTTGGTCATCTACCTACGGATTCTACATATCAAAGTCTACTATCTGCTAAGTTACTGGCAAAATCCAAAGATATTACAGCTATGTCTTTGTGTGTCTGTGTGTGTGTACACTAAAGTATAGAGTAATGACCTCTGAGCAGTGGGACTGTGATGTTTTTATTTTAATTTGTCTGTATTTTCTAATTTTCTGCCATGCACATATATTGCTTCTATAATAATAAAAGATTGTTTCAAAATTTAGAAATGAAAGCAACATGTCTCATATTTGTATAAGGAGAAAAACTCCATAATTCCATACCTGTATTTGTGAATGATGGCATTAAATAGTTTTCCATCTCTCCAGCAGGTAGTGAAGTTTTCACATCGAATTCCAGCATAACCCTCTGTTGCCTGCTGTGTCCACAGTAGCAATCTCTCCTTTGCAGACATATCCTCTGACTCTCCAGTAACATGGATATCAGATATCTAAATATAACAGAAAGTGTTAAACACTTAGGAAGGAAGGAAGCTAACTCAGATTAAGAACCTACTATGTGCGAAGCACTTTCTAAGTGCTATTTTATTTAATCCTCCTAACTCTCATTTATAAGCTAAATAAATGTCCCCATTTTACATATAAGAAAACTGAGTTTCAAACAGATTAACAACAGATTTTAAAAGTCAGATTTTATTCATTTGTGTCCAATATAAAAGTATTTAATCTATTTTTACTATACCAAGTCTTCACAGCATTGAAAATTCTACATTCTTCTTTGCTAATCAGATCTGCTGCACAACTTAAGAAAACATTTTTCCTAGTAGATCAGAAGTAAAACCTATAATTCATCTATAGTACTGCCTGTAGAGCAGAATTTGATCCAGCAGGTATTCTGTGTAAAGAACAAAGAAACAGTACTCTCTCCTGTTAACTATATTACATAACAATTTGGCTGAAAAGTCCCTAATTCTCATGAGTGCTTGCTCAGCTTACTCAACATGAAACCTTTATCAACTGATTTTTCCCCCATACTTTATTTGTTTTCATTAAGTTTCCTAAAAGTCTCTTCCATTGAACAATAATAAAACAGGTCACCAGTGTCCATGATTTATATTTTCCCAAGAGTGCCTCCTTGATAAGGGTCCTACTTAATCTGCTGATAATTATATTAAGGCACAAAGTGACTTGAACAAGGGTCACACGGTAATTCTAAGCTGGGATTAATACCAACAACAACTGTTCCCTCAATCAGTGCAGGATACAAAGCCAAGGGATCAAGAAGCCAGGCCGCAAGCCAGCATCAGGATGAGCAAGTAAAAGAGATTGGAAGTAAGACACAGGAGGAACAAATCATTCCGTAATAGGAAAAAAATCACTAGACTAGAGTCATGAGAGAGGCTGCTAGACCTGGCCGCCAGTCCCATAGCTTTGGATAATTCATTTCATGTCTGTGAGTCAACTTCCTCAGCTACAAAATGGGGGGGAGGTGGGAGGCAGAAGCAGATAATGTTTAAGGCCCTTTTCCGTCTAAAGTCTTACTAAGAGACTATAAATATGACACAGAAGTCAGAGGTCAAGACAGGCAGAGTCAGGCAACTGAACATGGAGAATAAAAAAACTCTAGCCTGAAGAAAACCTTTCGTATGTGGCAGCGCCAGGCTCAAACAGGAAGCCCTTTATTCCTCCCAGCTGCTACAGGGCCAGAGGCACAGCCAACCGAGGCCTGCCAACCGAGGCCTGCCAACCGAGGACCTGGGGCAGGAAGGCAGCAGCAGTGGAAGCCCTTGCCAGGCCTGGCAGCCCCTAACAACACCGCTTGTTGGAGATGATGGTGGGGGCCTCACACACCCTTTCTCCAGTGTTCAGCAGAGGCAGCCATGCTCCAGGCGCTTCCCTCTCAGCCACAGGCTGAGACGCTCTCCTTGACAAATGGCCAGGATTTGAAAGGGGAGCAAAGTGTCTCAATTTTCATCATCCTTCCTAGGAATCTGTGCTAATCTCCGTAGCACGGAAAAGAACTGTGTGCATAATAAACACATTCTGTAGTACATATAGGAGGGATTTCTTTTTTTTTTTAATGTTGAAAAAAAAGAGCATAAAATTCACCAATATTTTTCCACCCGACTTTCAATGATTTCCGGTTCTAAAACTACGCTAGAGTGCCTTTCTGGCACATCTCATGCATTTAAACTCCATCTCCATCATTTACATGCTCAAGTTACTTAAATGCTTTAAAACCCATCACTCATTTGTAAAATAATGTTAAAAATAATAATGACACTGTGTTCCGAGAATTCAGCAACATCAGCACAATGTAATGCCTGGCACGTACGTAATAAACCCATGCTCAATATAGATTAGCTATTTTATTGTTGTGGTTACTGTCACTCTTTTTGACAAAGGGAGAAACAAAAACTTGACTTTTTATTCTCCCAATTCTCTTCTTGTAAAGAGGAGTAAAAGAGTAAGTTTTTTTTTTTTAATTTGGTGCCTAAAACTAATCAAAATCTATGAACACAAGGATTCAGAGAAACTAATGTAGGAAACCGTGAAAGAAAAAGTTAAGACTCTAGGTAAAATTTCACAACAGGTCCCTGTGAGCCTTTAAAAATTATAAAATCAACTGCTTTGGGGAATGCTTACAATGCAGGAACCACCTGGGTGGCGTTTATAGCAATATACAGAAAAAGTAGATAACTGGGGAGAAGGGGCAATGTTTTCTGTTGATTCAAGGGCATTCCATGTTAGTCTAGTTACAAAAGTAATTACCTATTAACTAGGGTAGGTAGTAAATTTCAACTTTAAGGTACCAGTTTAGTAGGTTCAAGTGCTACGCAGCATTTTTACCAGACGAAGGATGTCAGAGGAGTTTAGAGGACTGAAAATGGTCTATACATCAACAAAGAGAAAACGATGTATTCCTATTACGTAAGTTTCCAACAGATGATTTTCAGATTGTTACACACACACTATTTCAGAGTGTTTTACCCACACACACACTATATCAGACTTTTCATGATACTGTGCACCAAAAACTAGAAAGAAAAATAAATTAAATGCTAAAAATTGTAAGTCTGCAGTTGCCATTCATAATTCCTGACTTGAAGTTTGTGTGTTCAGCGAAACAGCCTGAATCCTCCATCAATGACAAGTTAACAATGGTTCCACATTCAGGTCAGATTCTAGGAAGTAATCAAGCTGCCTCGCTTCAAAATCTGGAGGCAATACAGTGATGATTAGAGATGGTTTCAATTCGTACTGCCTGGGTTTAAATCTCAACTCCAACAGCTAATGAAATGAATGACCCAGACTAGTCACATAATCTCTCTAAAATCCATTTTCTTCATCTGTAAAATTTAAATAACAAACTATCCAAAAAAGAAATCTCATTTACAATAGCTACCAAAAAAAAAAAAAAATACTTAGTAATAAATGTAAACAAGGAGGTAAAAGACCTTTACACTGAAAACTAAAATATTGATGAAAGAAATTAAAAACAACACAAATGGAAAGATACCCTGTGTTCATGAATTGAAAGAATGAATATTGTTAAAATGTCCATATTAATCAAAACAATCTACAGATTCAATGCAACCCCCACCAAATTTCTCACATTTTTTACAGAAATAGAAAAAACAATCCTAAAATTCCTAAGGAACTACAAAAGACCCCAAATAGCCAAAGCAGCTTGAACAAAAAGAATAAACCTGGAGGAATCAAACTACCTGACTTCAAAATATACTACAAAACTATAGTAATGAAAGCAGCATGGTAATGGCATAAAAACAGATACATAAACCAACAAAACAATAGAGGGCCCAGAAAAAAATCCACACATTTCTGGTCAATTGATTTTGGACAAAAGTGCCAATGAAGAAAGGGTAGTCTCTTCAATAAATGACATAGGAAAATCTGGATGGCCATACACAGACGAATGAAGTGAGATCCTCATCTCACACCATATTCAAAAATCAACTCAAAGTGAATTAAAGACTTAAAATTAAGACCTAAAATTGAAAAACTACTAGAAGACATCATAAAGAAAAGTTTCTTGACTGTGGTCTTGGCAATGATTTTTTGTATATGACCCCAAAATCACAGGTAACAAAAGCAAAGATAGACAAATGAAATTATATCAAACTAAAAACCTTCTACACAGCCAAGGAAGCAATCAATGGAGTGAAGAGACAATCTACAGAACACGAGAAAATGTTTGCACACCATTCATCTGATATTCGGTTAATATCCAAAATACATAAAGAACTCAAATAACTCAATAATAAGAAAACAAATATCCCAGTTAAAAAATTGTCAAAGGATCTAAATAGACATTTCTCAAAATAAGACATTCAAATAGCCAACAAATATGAGAAAAAATGCTCAATACCACTAAGCATCAGAGAAATGCAAATTAAAACCACAATGTGATATCACCTCATACCTATTAGAATGGCTATTCTCAAAAAGAGGAAAGATAAGTGTTGTTGAGGCTGTGGAGAAAAGGGAACCCTTGCACACTCTTGGTGGGAATGTAAATTAGTATAACCATTATGGAAAACAATATGGAGGTACCCCTCAAATTAAAAACAGAACTAACATATGATCTAGCAACCCCACTACTGGGTATATATCCAAAAGAAATGAAATCAGTATGTCAAAGAGATATCCGCGCTCCCATGTTTATTGCAGCGCTATTCACTATAGCTAAGACATGGAATCAACCTAGGTGTTCATCAACAGAAGAATGGATAAAGAAAATTTGATATATATACAGAATAGAATACTATACAGCCTTAAAAAAGAAGGAAATCCTGTCATTTGTGACAGCATGGATGATCCTGGAAGACATTAAGTGAAATAAATCAGGCACAGAGAGACAAATATTAATTGATCTTACTTATATGTGGAATTTTAAACAGCTGAACTCATAGAAGTGGAGAGGAGAATGGTGGTTACCAGGGGTTAAGGGTAGACAATGGAGACAGGCTGGGAAGATGATCGTCAAAGGATACGAAATTTCAGTTAGATAGGATGAATAATTTCAAGAGATGTATTGAACACCATGGTGTCTGTAGCTAATAACAACGTATTGTATTGACAGTCTACTCTCTCAGATTTCAAGTGTTCTCACCGCAAAAAATGACAATTATGTGAGGTAATGCATATACTAATTAGCTTGATTTAACCATTCCACAATGCATACATATTTCAAAACAACATGCTGTACACAACAAATATATATAATTTTTATTTATCAATTTTAAAAAACTTGATGACATTAATATAATAATGTCTACCTCCTTGGGCGGTTCTAAAGATTAAATGAAATAGTCAAGTGCCTGGCACATAGAAACTATAAATGTTAGCTTCTCCCACCACAATTTTATTACCTGTATTAATACTTTAAGAAGTATTTGCTTCTTAAAGCTCACCGACAACCTGTCCCTAGCGTCAAAAGCAAACATAATACTTTATACCAGAGTTCCTT